AAAAAAATCAAAACCAATAATACATTCATATTGCTTTCATCAACTTGTTTATTCGTGATAATTAATTAATTACGTTACATTTACAGATTACTATTAGATGGTTGGAGGCAATCGACAGAGAGGCCTGCCTGCATACTTAGGTTTTCGGCTTCTTAATTTGCACTCATCAATCAGCAAGACGTTTCTCCAGTACTGTAAAAAACAACTTATGTTCCTATTGGGGTTCAAACCTGTGTCACCCAGTGCTGTCTGCAGTTACATTTGAATAAGGAATAATAATCACTTTATTCCACAACAATAACAATTTACAGCATGGAATTTTCAGCGTTTCATTTTGCATATTGCATTGGTTTAGCTCTTTTTATAATTATATAAATGTATAAAATTTTAAAAATATTGATAGTTAATAGGAAAAATAAAAAACCCCAACAAAATACACCATTTCTAGGTCATAGTGAATAATAAATAAATAATATAACAAATCACACATGCAATAATATGCATCATTACATTTCATAGTTTAGTTAATGATTTAAAAGTTGTAAAAGTTCTTTTCTGATATTTGTCTCTTCACACAATACTCGTGCCAAATATGGTACGGTCGAATTTTTATATTTTGTAGTACGAGCATAAATGTTTATGAAATTTCTTCTGGTCTTACCCGAAGAGATACAAGGAAACAAATGTGAATAAAGGGGATGTTCACTATCAGACAAGATAACTTTAGCTGAGTGTTTACAAGAATTCATGTGCCTATTGACAACAGTGTCGGTTAGTTGAGGCAAAGGGATAGCACTGACCCTACTTACAGCCTTCAATGTTCTTCGTAGTATTATATGGTCTTTCTTGAGTAGCTCAGGGAAGAACAATGGAGAACAATAAAGAATGATGGGCAAAACACATGAATTAATAAATTCTATGAGAAGAGGTTGGCTTATACCTGAGTGCCTCAACTTCTTTATGTAATAAGTCAGACGGAAAACTTTCGTAGAAACTATAAGAATGTGAGACGACCAGCAAAGGTTTGAAGAGAAACTGATGCCAAGATAAGAAACACTTGACTTACTCTCTATCATGGTACCGTCAATATTACAACAATCATGAGATTGGATCAATCCATGCATGTCTTTTTCACTTCTCAAGCTGAAATCAACTGTATTACATTTAGTTGGATTTCGTTTAAGACCATTTGATCCAGACCAATCCTCAACTTCAGCTAAGAAGCCATTCCCCCGGCCGGCGCACTCCCTTACCTCACTAAGCCAGAAATAAAGCTGGTAAAGAGGAAAGGTTGGGCATGAGGCTAGCAACCCCATCCTGTAAAAAATAAATACTGCTACAGAAACTTCAAGCCTCTAGCTTGAAGCCCTATGTTCCACTGGGAACGTGAAGGAATAATAAAAAAAATAAAAAGAAGCCATTCATATGGGAACAATCCGATGTGGAAACTACAGGGACAGAAACGATCAGATCATCAGCATACTTAATGAAGTTAACTTTGGGTGAGTTCGGAAGGTCATGCAAAAAGAAAGAGAAAAGAAATGGAGAAAGTATTGCACCTTGAGGCACACCACTTTCAGTTAGCTGAGAAGTGGAGCGCTTTCCAGCCAAAACAGTATGCTGTTTCCTATCCTTAAAATAAGAAGACAGCCATCTAGTTGCCCAGGACTCTGTCTGTGCTGAAATCATCTTTCCTAATAAAAGTGTCCTAGGAACAGAGTCAAAAGCTGCAGTGTAGTCTAAAAAAGCTGTTCGAACGAACTTAGCACCCTTATCAAGGCAGGAAACAATATTGTGGTGTAGTACAATGGCTGCATCTAATGTACTTCTTCCACACTTATAAGCAAACTGCTTAGGGCCAATAAGAGCTTTTAAAGAAGGTTTAAGAATATTCAAAACAAGTTTCTCCATAGTTTTCAAAAAAGGAGATGTTATAGCGACCGGTCTAAACTTTATACCTGCTACAGAAGATGATTTCTGTACAGGTACAACCTTGATTTCTTTCCAGTCAGCAGGTACCGTTTCCTTGTTAAATGATGCATTAAATATTTGAGTAAGAGAATGACACAAGATGTCTGCACACTTTTGAAGAAGAATGCCTGGTACACCATCTGGACCAAGGCTGTGTGTTGGATTTAAAGATTTCAAACATAATAGTACATCCTCTTCTTTAAAACCCCGAAAATGACCATTATCTTGACTAGGTACATCAGGTACAGGCATATTAATTTGTTTCATGATAAATGATTTGTTTAAAGCATTAACATCAGAATAAGCATCAACAGACATTTGTTTTTTGCTTGTAAGTTTATTGAAAAGTTTCCAAATGTTTGAAGGATTTTTACATGATAAAAATTTTTCATTATATAGTCTGTTCAACCTTTCTATTTCAATTTTTATAAGGGTGTTTATTTTACGGACACCAGTATTATCACTATTCTTATACAACTTCTCCTTTTGTCTTCTAAGTTTTTCCAGCTGCAAAGAAGAGATTCTGTCAAATCTCGAAAACAGTGTTTCATATGGACAGCAAATATCCAAACAAAACTTCAGATAATCGGTTATGTTAGAGACAGTAGCATCCAACTTATCGTCAGTAAATAGTTCCCAGTTGGTATCATACAACATGCTTCTTGGTGCTGGAAGGTTGTCATGGGAATATGAACGTTCATGTATCTTCTTTGTTAAATGACTAAACAATTTTTGTTGTAACTTGCCATACACTTTCGGTAAAATACGAATAATGCAGTGGTCAGAGTTTAACAAAGGAGCTCTCCTTCGGGTTTCATGTACATCACGGTCGTTTATGAAAACCAGGTCTAGTGATTTGTCCAGACGTGTATTAAACTTGACTAGATTCTCATGACCAAGTGAAGTAAGAAAGCTGTGATCACATGAATTAAAATCACCACAGACTATAGACAGCGAGTTATCGAATGCAGGAGCAGCGAATTCAGTAAATTCATCTGCAAACGTAACTATATTTGAAAGGCTACAATTGGGTGTTATGTAGATATTTGTTATGTATATGTAAGAATATTTACTTAAGTGTTTTGGGCGACACCTGACGGTTATGCAGTCTATATTGTCATTAGAATAATTGAAGCAAACGTGATTTGATGTAGACCAACTAGTGTTTATAAAAGTGGCTACCCCTCCTCCACATTTTTTCTTTGAACTTTTTCTATCTTGGCGAAAAACTTTATATCCATTTAATGAAACTAGATTATCATCATAATGCTGGTGCAGCCAAGTCTCTTGTATTGCTAAAACGCCAGCGTTTCGATAAACATTAGAATACATTAGGTATTGAAGATAATCCATTTTGTTGGACAATGATCTACAATTAGTGCTAACGAGTTCAGGAACAGTCATTTGATTAATTTGTGTACGTTTCAGTGCACGCTGCCATCCACAGTGATGCTTTTTTCTCAATTTTTGTGGATGACACAACGCAGTAGGATGTAATGATTTTAAAAATGCGCGATTCTACACATAGACAGTCAGGTACACTCACTCCTGAGCTCTCTCTAAGGTTTTTCAAAACATACATAAGACCACACCCTGAAGTGTACAACATTATTGCTGTCCCGCTACTCTGAATAGACGCCAACTCTTTTGGAAGAGTCGAAAGAAGGGGGAAAAGAGGTGATCGGTCTCCTAAACAAACCATATGATGAACGGCTGAAGAAATTAGGTCTTTTCACACTTAGCTATCTTAAGCTTAAAAGCGAATTAATTGTTACCTTTAAGGTTACAAATGGCCAGAATCCTCCCGAAAATGTGTTCTGCCCTTCAGTAAGCATAGGATTCCTCATGACATATCCAGAAAGTGTGGCTCACCAGAAGAAAAAGACTCGAGTCCACTTCCAGTTCCTTTCACCTAGAGATTGCCAACCCTAGGAGGTGTCTAACGCACTGTCCGTTTACGGCTTTAAGCGAAGTATGAAAATCAAGCAGTGACAAAAGAACTGCGGTGAAAAGGCCTTTGGAGACTGACGGTATCGACGTCCGCGAATTGTACAGAGTATACTAACGCAAGATCTCATACCAACAACTTCTAAAGTATTCGTTTCTCGGGTACCAAATACACGGCAAAAGACCAGATTTAGTCGTCCAAAGTACGAGATATATTTCGGGACCAAATAGTGAACCATGTTGAGTGCTTAGCTGGCTATTGATCGTGCACGCACGTGACACGACGGAGCACCAAATGGCAAGGATGCTTGACCGGAAGCCTTCAGCTAAACAAGTCGATTTAAACAGTGAGGGCCAGCATCCGATGTTCAGTGTTGATTGCTGTGGTCAATAATTTTGGGGAATTATTTACCGCAACAGGCCTATCCCCTATGTACTCATACACCTAATCTTGTAATTTTATCTCTTCACATTCTCCCTTGTCTTATTCTCTCGACTACTCCAACTGTTGCGTTCCTTATACCATAATTTTTATTATTGATATGATGTATACGTACTATGTATATCTATATATCAACTTCAAACGTCATTAGCCGTCTTTTCTTACATTTTCTTTCTTTTTCTTTTTAAGTCGGCATTATCTACACGAATTAAATCTTTCCCTTTTTCAACCATGTCGGATGACTAACGAGTAAAGGATCAACTTAGTTCACAGTAACAACACAGAATTAACACACCGCATACTAAAAACTATATATAAATGATCCCAATACCGCTCATTGGTGAGTCAACCATAGCTACGGCAGTCAACTATGAGGAAGAACTACACAGAAGTTTACCGAAGACCAGAACGATTCACCTCGAAACCGAGTAGCGATCACAGAGAAACAAACTTTGTACACTAGCTCGTAAAAGCGATATTGGATATTGGAATAATAGGAGAGATCAGGTGCGAAAAACAGGCGTTACTTTTGAGTTGCGCGCAACTGTATTGCTCTGTACCATTTTGGCAGACTGAAGTGTTTGGGATTTCTAAACATCTACCTCTTAAAACTCTGAATAACCAGTAAAGAGTTGGTGATCTTCTTTTCAGGGCAATTATTTGTCAAGAAATTTGTAAAATATACAAAGATGAACGTGATTACTGGATTCTATATACCGTTTGGGGTTATCACTGCATTCTGGTTTCTTGTTGGTGTGATAAGTCCAATTTTTGTACCGAAGGGGCCCAATAAAATGTAGTTTGAACTACCGTGCTTTACTTTATTTACAGGATTGTGTCCGTGTCAATAGTTTTGACCGCTGCTTGTTGTTATCTCTTGTAAGTTCTTACCAGTGAAATTTATAATATTTCAGTTGGGTCGGTTTCTACTTGGCACAGTATCACCCGTTCTTTGGTCCGTCTCTGAATTCAAGAACAATACGCATTATCCAGCAGCAGTGGACGGTAATTTTATGTTTGTTTTACATAAAACAATTTTTACCAATTCTCGGAAATTTCGAAACAATACCAGTTATTGACATTTTAATGTCACATAATCTCGCAAGCCATGTAAAATCCAGTAATTAGTTTTTCGAACTAGCATCGCAGTTCTGTTGACTGAGTGCTTATGTAATAGAAACAGTGAAGTACGAGTCCCTTGTAGTCTGCTACTATGCTGTTGCAATCAATCTTAAGTATAGATTTTCTTATTTTTCCCGCTTTCTAAATGACAGAACAGGTCAAACAAGGGAAGATTGGATGCAAGAAGTATCTACTACCATACTTCCTATAAGTCTTGATCCCGTGATAAATGCTAATTGCCCGTAGCATATGACAATAAAGCCACCAGTTTCAACAGAATATGAAATCCGTCCCTTGTCGATCCTCGCAGAAAAGCCGTTATAAGTCTCCATTCTAATTATTTTAAATGGTGGTTTAGATAAAATTTCAAGCTATTTGTGAATCCTAGGTTAGGGTTAGTAGAATTATCGATAGGTCTAAACACTTGATGATATTGAATGGTTGGAGGCAATTGGCAGGAAGCCTTGGACCTAGGTTTTGTGCTAGTTGGCACTCGTCAGTAAGGCGTATCTGCAACTTTAAAGGAACTCATGTCCCTTCTGAGATTTGAACCTGCGTCACCCAGTGCTGCAGTCAGAGACGTTACCGTGATGGCGAGCTACCTAGAATGGTGGCCACATTGCAAACCTGACTGATAGAATTCAGTCTGCAGCAAACAAAGGACTAGACTCACAACACTAGTTACTAGTGTCCAATCAAAGGTCTAAACACTGTTCACACCTTTTTTAGTCTGGGCTGATTACATTTGAAAACTCCCACAAAATGCGCATTTCTATTATTCATGTTAGTCTTATTACCATAAGTGGAAGCTTTTAAACTTGTGCTACAATTGCATTTGAGTTCTTGATAAGAACCGAAGTATGCACTACACTTTTTTAGTCGATGACTAACCGCATGCAAACTCTAACGTGATCACCAAGACAGTCGTAGGTACTCTGCACCAGTACTGTGATGCTCCTCTAGTGAAATAAAAGCCACTTAAGATATCATTAGCTAGCAGTATTTTGCGCCTATTAACTCTTAATCCAGTTGTATATGCTACTTTTGAATACGTTGTTTAGATCATTTTGGAAATGATCGTCATGCATAAGGTTGTTAACTTCCTTCTCTAACTCCAAAATCATCAGTATGTGACACTTAGTTGCTAGTGGTCCGAGAGTGTTATTCAGGATTATGAATAGGAAGATAAACATGGTACCGTGCGAAGAGCCACGTATCATCTTGATTCAGCGAGATAGTAATAACCATACAGGTGGGAGTGTATTTTCTTCCTTTAACCGTTATAATAAAGTTGTAGGCCCACCATTTATGGCTACTAAAAGATTATGTCGTGGTTCGCTTTCTTAGGCAATCTGGAGAAACCTAGAAATATTCTTTTTTCCAGTGAATTTACTCCAGTTGTCTCATGTAGTCAGTACTATACTGCTTGATGTAGTCAGCCTGAAGCTCTGTTGTAAGACCATAAACCCTTCATTTTTTAATGAATAAGTGTAAAGCATAATTTATTCGTCCCTCAATAACTTTATCTACAATGAAGAGGAGGTAAGTAGGTTCGTAGATTGATGCATTCTGTTTATAGATGCCTTGGTATCTTGCTGCGATAACTCACTCCTAATCAACAAGTAATTCTCTGGACGAATGATATTTTAAGTGCTTACTCGGGTAAAAACAATTTGCACATGTTTTCAAGACGGTCGGTCAAATACTGGCTAATTAATCGACATAGAAATTTATACAGGCATGCATCAGTTTGAACATTTGAAACACTATTCTAAACAGAAGGCAGAAGTAAAATGATAATATAATACATAAACATGTTTTTAAAGGTTAACTGTCAATAAATCTGGTTATACAGAAAGAATACATCTGCACCATTGTGTGAACAGTTATAGGCTAACTCTATTGTTTCTTAGTGTCAAAGAGCTCCATTTAAGCATCCCACACACCTACACACGAGAATCATACTGACAGTCACATACTTCATTAATTTGTGACATATTTTTGTTTTACTACGTGTGACTGTAGCTATTCATCCAAAGACCTGTATATTGTGCGGGACTTTGCTCTGTTGTGTGCTAATGTCTGAGATTGTGGTTGGAAAGGGTTTTCGATTATACTTACCAACGTCCAATCTGTCATGTCAGATGGAACAATAAAGGTGGTAATAATGAGGTTGAGCGTAAAGTGTGTTAGAGTGAAGGTAACTTAATGGATGATACTGTCTAGTTTCATTTATTAAAATGCTTAGAATATGTGGTATGCATGTCAAGCCACTGTCTTCCTGGATGAGCAGTGTTAACTGATGTAAGATTCTGTTAAAAAAAAGTTTGGAATGATCATACGAAAATACGATATTAATCCATGATATCTTTGACCGTTGATTTAAAGAAAACAAAACACGTAGGTCAGCAAAGACACTATTTTCGATGAACTTTCCCCTTTAGCTGTACGATAGCATTTACATACATTTTTTTTTCATGAAAGAGAATAGTAACAGAACTATTGGGTTGTCATAGTCATCATTGTTAATATTGATCAATACATAAGAGAAGTTGGACAATTGTATTCGAGTTACTCAATAAGATGAATTATTTAATGAATGAGTTGTAATCAGAAAGCGCGTAGAAACGAAGGAAAATATGGAATCATATTAGAGTTCTAAAGAAATACATGAGTTATACGAAGTTGGGAAAACAAACAAACAAAAACAGTCAGTAGAAATCAACATGGTTGTTACCATGATAGAAGAAGTGGTCGAATAATTTTCTCTTGTATGCATAGCTTCGTTTTTTCTAACTAAGTTGTCAAAGCTTTAGCATTGCAAAGAAGGCGAAGGCGTATCGCCTCTGGCAGGTTACTATTCACTTTGTCGATTACTTTAAAAGAGGCGTTTGTTAAGGCCGAATGACCAATGTTGACAAGGTATTCGATCATCTCACTCCTAATAGAACCCCTACTACCTTTTCACAAGCATGCACGATAGCGTTGCTGAACGTGTAAAGACGGGATACGTGTCGAACGATCAATATACCTGACTCCGCAGCAACAGGTGAACTGATATATGCACACTGAAATGATCAGATGTGAGATCCCGACCTTAAGACTTCTGAAGACCAATAGACGACTGAAGATGACTACTGTGTTGGCTTAAAGTATGTAAGGAGGTATACACTACCTATCTAGCATCCTTGTGATTCTAAGAACCAATAGTTGGAGATTGCTGGTGATATGGTTCAGTATCGTTGACAGTGTCGCATACGTATTCACTCCTTGATGTCATTCAGACAGTGAAAACTGCCACTAATTACGTGCCTCTTCGCAGTGTGGCGACTTGAAAAGATGCATTTTTGTGCAGAACTATGCAATAAGATATCACACAGGCAGTCTAAACATGAAGTTGAATAGGATGATTAAGTAACAAGGTAGTAAGCAACTGAATGAAGTTAAATCTGTTGGTAAGGTAACTGAAATCAATATGACTTGTGATTTTAATGGCGAAAATATTGTAGGTTCAAGTAATACATTTAGATGAAAAGGATGAAGCATATCCCTGTTGTTGTTATCAACTTTGTAGATAGTCTAGCTTTTTAAATTAAATATCAAGTATATATATATATATTCTTCTGTAACTTACTCATTTTAGCCTAAATAAATTTGACGAGAATCGTTTTAAATTAAAGAAAACTCAGTACCCAATTGAATTTCTGGATATCAACCATCAGTGCCTTTTTTTAATATTGAAGAAGAGAAGATACATAATTCTTATCTACTTATAATTTGATTATTAATTGAACAGGTTATAAATCACATATCATTTTCTTACGTAATAACAGATAATGACCTAGTTAATTTTGAAAAATCCTTTCCACTTTTTCATGTGTTTGTTTTTCATTTTTACTTTGTTTGATTATTGATTAATTTCTTTATTTTGTGATTTTGAATAAAACAGTTTATTGTATGTCAATTACTTTTGTGTTCTCATCTGGAAATTGTTTATGACTATTATAAGTATTATTCCCTTAGGTTCCGAGTGGAGCGTGGGGCTTCAGCGGCACATCTCCACTTTGTCCTGTTCTCTGCAGATCTCTTTAGCTGGCCACACCATTCCCCATAAATTTTCATTTCCCCCTCACTTGTTTTTCTCTAGAGTCGTCGTTTTCCATTCGGGTCCGACTTGAGGGCATGGTGTGCATTGCCACCTAATGGTCTCCTCAGCATGTGCCCGATCCATTTCCATTCTTTTGGATCTATTTCTTGAGCAACAGGTTATTGACGACTGGCTCGTTTACAGAGTTCCTCATTGCTAATTCTTTTTGGTCATCTGATATTCAATATAGAGCCAGTAAAGACAGTTGTTGTTGATAAAAGTCTTCACTGGCCTGTTCGAAATGCCTATCGTGACGCTCGCACTAAGTTTCAGACCTGTGTACACGAACTGACTTACTTGATATTGGTGTTGAAAATCTGAATTTTTCTTGTTTATGCTGCTGAATGAATAAGATTTCCAAACTGATTTCATTGCGATGATTGTCTGTCTTGCCTTTGCTACCCTGGCTGGTTTTGACATCATCATCATCCGTAGGCCTGTAGTTGGAACGATGGTTCCTTTGAAAAAATCGTGTGCATACATCTAATGTCTCACGAGACTGGAGTAATCATGATCCGATGATTAGAATTCAGTTATCTGAAAGTGATTTTTCTCGTATACTGAAATACAAGCCATGCTTCTTATTGTATAAAGACATGTGATACTAATCAACTGCCCAGGTTAAAGTTGTTGTAACAAGATCTAAACATGGAACGAAATTGTTGAAAACTGAGGACTAAATCCAGTGGAGTAGCGGGCAGTATTGATGAATCCTAATGAATGTTGGTATGGCTGC